AGGTAGGACGGGATGGAGGCCACCCGGCAAGGGCTCCGCGCGCGCTCTGGGGAGTTGGGGCGCAGCCGCCAGTTGGCCTTACGTAAGCGCTCAGCCAGGCTGGGACTCCACGCGTCTTGCCCGCCCGGGGAGCAGGTCTCAAAGGTGACCTGTTTCCTGCACCAGGAGGGGGAGGACACTAGATACCATCCCCTAAGGACTTGCTGGGGTCCAGTCTTCGCGTTTTGCGGGACATCGTCCGGTTTTCCAAGCATTCCCCCTGCCCTTTGTGTGGTTGGTCGTCTCCCGCGGTGGGATCGAGGGGCTGAGCGGGGTGAGGGAGGCGCACTGGACGTGGAGCCCCAAGAGCACAGCTGGGCGCTGGCTGCGCCTCCCTTTCAACCGGTGCCTCTCACGCGGCTGAGGCGCGGGCTCTGAACCAGGCTTCCTGGGGTCGCTCGTTCCCCAGCCACTTGTCAGTTGTGACCTAGTGCAAGTTCTCCCTCCAAGGATGCGTTTTCTCATCTCAAAGTGAGATACAGTACTCTGCACTGACTGCTTGAGTATTTGGCTCATAAATAGTAGCTGTCAGAACGAGCCTTGATTGGCACAGTTTGCCCTCCTATAAACTCTACGTCTCCAGCTACATAACGGGGAATGGGGTGATCATGGCCAAGCCTTTGGAGGGAAACATTATCCCTGTTTTTCTTAAGAAAACTGATGCTCAAATGCCTTAAGTGCCTTCCTAAGGTCAGGGAGATGGCACATGGTCAGGAGAGGAGCCCACCCCAACCTCTTTTCATTCACTCAGACCTTATTTTCCAGGAACTGGTGGAAGCACCTGGGCTTCCTCCTAGCCAAGTGCCCCACCTCTTAGGCCTGAAACAGGCCCTCTAGGTGCCCAGCCTGCCACAGGCTGGGTGTGTACAGCCAACAGACATGTTTGTTCCTCAGTCCGCTTCAAGGACCTGGAGTCACCTTTTTCAGCCAGTTGTCATTGTTACATATAACTAGGATGACTTTGCAATTTATCGTTCAAAGGAAACACTCTGAGCTATGCTATTAATAAATTAACCAGGAACAGGAGATACAAACCTGAAGTCACCCTACTTATAAAGTTTGCTTAGATACCTTCTAAAATCTGGATAAGCCTTCATATTTTGCAAAACAAGGCCAATAAAACACAGTTTTTTGAACAAGAAGCTATTCTGTAGAGTTAACCCTTTTAATTTTTGTATGAGGGAAAAACAGTTGGGTAGATAAAGCTCTTTCCATGGTCACCCAGGAGTAGCACCTTAGGCCTACATGGCACCAAAAGCTTATGAGAAAGAAGTCAAACCTGTCCCTCTATGCCGAGTTTATTTATGACACTGCCTTGGAGTCGGGATTTTCCCCCAGAGCCACTTGGTACCCCAGGATCCTATTTTCCTTTTCTTCCATATATGCAGCCTGTTTTGTTGTTGCTGCTGAAGAGTTTATATCCCACCAATGAGCTGTGTTACTCAGACTGTCCTATTGTATTCAGTGATGTGCGGTTCAGCATTAAAAATTTGGTAAGATTGTTTTCTTGGTCCTTTCTGCTTCATTTTTTCAGATAGGGCAACTCCTGAACTGATCCTTCCAGGTACCACCTCTACCTTAAGGTCACCTTTACTTTATGCCTCCAGTGATTCACTCCACAAACTGCGTACCTACCAAGTGCCAGGCCCTGTACTAGGCATCTAAGGAATATGAGGGCTCTACCCCTTCTGGAGAGTAGAGTTCAGAGAGGGCAACACAGTCTCAAGAATCACACCAACAGGGAACTGCAATTTCACTACTGGGATAGTGAGAGCACAGAGTAAAGAAACTATAGCAGAGATAATACTGCTTACCAGATAGTCCAGTTACAACTCGGGAGAGTCATGTGATGAATTCTGACCAAAGAAATTAGGTAGAATGATGTGATGGGCTGAGGCAGGGAAAAGCCGGTCTGTAATTCTTCAGTCTCTCTTCCCCTGATGTAACTATTCCAGAGCCTGTGTTCTAGATGCTGTGGCTGACAGATGGTGGGGCCTCCTCAAGCCTACATGACCGTGGGACAGACCCTCTATTCACCTGTGTTGGACATAAAACGTGAGCAAAGGTAAACTCAGTGTCAAGCCACTGAGATCTGAGGGTTGTTGCTGTAGCATATTTTAGTCTAAGTTGATTAATAGAGTCATTGGAGAAAGGGTGTTCTCATTAGAAAACAGCATGTACCCCTCCTGTCCCTCTTTTAAAATTATATTGTGCCCCTGGCCAGCGTGGCTCAGTGGCTGTGCATCGACCCATGAACCAGGAGATCATGGTTCCATTCCCTCCCTGTCAGGGCACATGACTGGGTTTCCAGCTCCATCCCCAGTAGGGGGCGTGCAGGAGGAAGCCGATCAATGACCCTCATCATTGATGTTTCTCTCTCCGTCTCCTTTCCTCTCTGAAATCAATAAAAACATATTTTAAAAAAACCTAAAATTATGATATGAAGCAAAGGTACTGTGTAAAGTATTTTTCATTAAAATGGAAAATGAGCGAGAAAAGAAAGCTGAAAACATGTATACTGAAGGGTTGGCTGGGGGAAGGTATATGGAGCAGACAAGAGGATGCTGGGACCATGCAGAAAAGAACTTGGCCACTGGAGAAAGTATTGTCTGGCTCAAGGCCACCACTTAGTAGGAATTTAACAAATAAATGAATGAACAAGATGCAAATAGAGAGCTAATTAAGGATTTGGGGAGGACCAGAAAGGTGGAACTGCCAGATGGAGCAGGCAGGTGGGGAGACCCTTCTCCCTCCTTCCTTGCCAATTCTAAATGGTGCAGCCACCACCTGGACTTCAAGCAGATATAAGACAACACTGTGAGCACTCTGGTTTGTTTATTTTATTGTGGTAAAATATTCATAACATAAAGTTTACCATCTTATCCATTTTTGTGAATGTATCCCTTCTGTGGTATTAAGTATAATTTCATTACTGTGCAACCATCACCACCATCCATCTCCAGAAATCTTTCATCTTCCCAAACTGAAATTCTGTACCCACTAAACAATAACTCTGCCCAGCCCTGGAAACCACGTTCTACTTTCGGTCTCTATATACTGTAGGTACCTTATATAAGTGGACTCATACAGTATGTGTCCTTTTGTGTCTGGCTTATTTGACTTAATGTTATCAAGGTTCACTGATATTGCAACATGTGTCAGAATTTCCTTCCCTTTAAGAATGAATAACATTCCATTGTATGTAAATACCCAACTATCGCCTCGCACTCCAGACTTAACAGACCACCATCCACGCTGTGTCTGGTCTACAGTGCCACCTGGTAGTCAGTTTGGGGCATTCTCTGCATTGATGTATCATTTGGAGTGGTGTCCCTCTGTTTTGTTTTTGTGCTCAGGGATGGGCCAATTCAATCTCAGGCAATCTTCCTTACACACAGCCAAACATCACCCTTTATCATCATCTTTCAATATCTGGAAAATTAACATTTCCCCTCCCTTTTCCCTGATGCATTCATCCCCATAGGTGATGAATGAGCCTAATGTTCCTGGGGCGATGAGTCATTAGGGAGCAGGATGACTGTGTGACAAGTCACTAAGCCTTACCTAGCATGTCCTCTTGCTCTCTGGTGTGTGTGTTCCCATACAGTAAGAACATGTGGGCAGGATCTCATCCATCAGTCCCATGTCCTCCCCATCCCCACCTCCTCCCCTCCCTCCCCTCTGTGCTGTCTCTCTGTTCACCTGAAGCTTAGTGGGTAAGGGAGGCCTGCATTCAGGACCAGCTATATCTTGGCAGGCACCCCTGAGCATCTGGGTCCCAAGAATCTGGGAAATCTAGAATTTCCTCCAATCTAGCTTACTAGAGAGCCTGGCATGGAGGTGAAGCTTGCTTTCACAGGTAAATTCTCCATCCCATGTATTGGAGCTTTGGATTTATTTTCTATTTTGGAGAATCCTATAAGGGAGAAAATTATCAAGGCAACTGCAGTATTACAGAGAATTTGAATTAAGTGTATTAATCTGAGAATTTCAGTTGAGACTTTTTTCTTTTATCTTGGTGCAGAGAACAGTATCAATATTTTGGAAGCATCAGTGTGTTCATGTGCCTCTCCTTTTAAAATGCAACTAATTTGATATACCACTGCTTAGAGTTTCCTCTAATTTAAAACAGGAATATTATTATCATGTTATCCCCTCAGGTCCTGACCTCCTGTAAGCTCTGTATTGTTTATCTCCTCTGCTAGCTCTTTAGGGCAGGGACCTTGTTACATTAACTTTTCCATTAGTGCCTCACCTGATTCTTGGTTGACGGTAGGCCCTAACTAAATAAATTCTTAAAGAGTTGAACTGAATCAAGTTCCAAATGCCAAAATGGTGAAAATGCAATCAATCCAAATGTTTTCGCATCAGTGGGTTATAAAATGAATTTCCTCCTTAGATAAAAGTACGTAGCCCTGGAATTTTTTATATAATTCCAACAATTTCTTTAAAACACTAAATGGTGGAGTTTTTTTTCTATATAACTAGATATTGTGGTCCAGAATTCCCAGTACTTGTGCACCTTCACTTTGCAGCTGGCAAAATGAATGAACAGGGTGACCCCTCCCAGCAGAGCACATGATCAACCACAGCTGTGCATGTTTTTTAGCATGACTGCACCAGGACAGGGCTCTGAGCCACTGGGTGGAGCAATACGCCCTGGGGAGAAAGCTTATGACATTTCCCCTATGATTTCAAAAAAGAAAAGAAAAAACTCTTTCTCTTGAGTCGTTTCTGCTCAATGTCAATAGAAAAATTCCATAGCCTGTGTGCATATAGATATATGTGTGAATATGTACAATATCAGCCACCACCACAGGGAGAGATTTTAAACTGAAATGGTCCTAAGGTAAGTGAGGCAAATATTGTTAGCTAGGTGCCTTGTCAACCTCCACTCCCTCTCTTCTCTTGATAAGAGAATCCCAATTTTATTTGGGGGAACAATGTACCCAGCTAGAAGATAGTTTCCCGGCCTACCTTGGATGGCTAGGCTCTAGCCAGTGAGATGTAAACAGAAGTGTGCGGAATGTCCAAGCAGGCTGCTACACTGAAGCTGACTCCATTGAAAGGTATGTTCCTTTTGGCCTTCCTTCCCCCTTCCTCTGAATGAAAGTCAGCTTGATGGCTGGAGCTCCGGGAGCCATCCTTGGACCTTGTGGCGACTTGGGGATGGAAGCCATAGGCCAGTGCGATGGAGCAGGATGACAAAGAGGCTGGATGCCACAGTACCAGCCCTCTATGCTTAATTTCCGGCTGCTTCTGTGAAAGAAAAATCAAGCAATAACAACAAAGCCCTCTCTCTCGTCTAAGACACTTAAAAAAAAAATTTAGTTTTCCATTATATACAACCTGTCCAAGCAAGGGGGCTAGTTTACTAGGGCTGCCATAACCAAGGAGGACAGACCAGGTGGCTTAAGAAAGAAAAATTTATTTTCTCATTGTTCTGGAGGCTAGAAGCTCCAGATCGAGGTGTGGGCAGGGCCGGTTTCTTCTCCCTGTGTCTTCACGTGTCCTCGTGTCCCCCCCATACATGACAATGGCCAAATTTCTTCTTATAAAAGCTCACATCTTATCAGGTTAGGGCCCCATCCTAACAACCTCATTTTAACTTAACTACCTCTTTAAAGATCCTGTCTCCAAATACAGTCACATTCTGAGGTACTAGGGGTTACAATTATTCAGACCATAGCGCAAGGCAGGAATAAAGAGGTTTACTGTGGCTTTTTTTTTTTTGGTCATAATAGAAAACTTGGTAATAGATGTCCATCAACAGTAGCGAAATAAACTATTGATATATTAATACCAAACCCTACAGCACTTCGGTCTAAAGAATAAACGCATCATGTCATTGTTAAGGGAGAAACACTGAAGGTGCCCACAGGCTTACTGGTCTGTGCAGTGTGCTGCCATAAACACGCATAAATGCAACAAAATCATGTCTAGAGCTGCTTGGATGTTTGTAAGCGTACAGAAAAATGTACACAGTGTGTGACAAACTGACAGCTGGTTGGTGTGGAGTAAGAATGTTTGGAACTTGGTAGAAAAGATTCCACTGCGATGATAAGTGATTCGTGTCTTCCTTATGTAGTTAAAAATTTAGAAGAAATCGGCAGACCTGCCATTTAAAACTCCCAATCTCAAAGCACCTCGGGCCAGGATCTTTTTAAGGAACAGAAATGGGATGATTCAGCCTTGAAAAGGATGTGTCAGTCAGAGCCTGCAGGTTGGGTTCACATGAAGCTATTTTAAAAATGAAAAGGTTAAAAAAAAAACCCCAAAACACAAAAAACCCTTTTTCGAGTTGAAGAGATGACAGGAATATCTGAAAGCTGGTGGAATTAAATCCTCTAAAAGTAATGTTTTGGTTTGTGTGGGGTTTTTTAAAGCTTTTTCGAGCCCAAGAGCTGACAGGAATACTAAAGCTGAGCAGCACAGCAGGGGCCCGAGGTCGGCAGGACCCTCTGAGAAAGTTGCTCAAAAGTTCTCAAAAAACTTCTCCACAGAGACCGCAGGAGGCCGGGGGAAGCGCCTGGACCCGGAGCCGGGCGTTCCTGGAGCTGAGGCAGCGCCAACTCACCTCGCAGGCGAGACGCTGAGGCCTCGCGAGGCGCTGAGGAGGGTTCCTGGAGGCCCTGAGGGAGCTTTTGGCCCCGGCCCTCGCGCTGGAAAGAAAAAGGTCGTCCTCTGGCGGAAAACGAGCAGGAGCGCAGGCTCCATCCCTATCACCGCGCCGAGAGCCTCGGCGGGACGAGGGGCGGGGCCTCGGGGCGGGACAAGATGGCGGAGGGGCGGGCTTCC